CACAATTTGTTTAGTGTCCCAACTTTTTTGGAATCCGGTTTGTAAAAGGAGCACAAAACAGCTGAAAGTAGCTGAAAAAAGTTTAAATTTGCAGAAGGAAGCTGAAACAAGCTGAACAAGAACAAAATGTGAAAGGAGCAGTGAAAGGTTTTAAACGGATCTAAAGATTTGAAGGATGTAAAATGAGCTCAATTCATTTTCTAGGAGAAAAAAAATGTTAGAAAAGGCTAAATATTTCAAAAAGCTAAAGCTGCACCAATACCAAAAGTCATAGCAGGATTGTCCTGAAAGAGCTGAACGTTTTGATTTATGATTTGTTGAAATAGCTGCAGGACAAGAATTGTGTCGAAAAATGGATCACAGTGATGTGAAAGCTTCCTAAACATTCACACTGTTAAAATGTTGAGTCAGTGAAGCAGAGGGGGTGAGACGAGGCCAGTTTGTTCTTACAGCTCGTCGTCTTCTCTCTTCCTGCAGCCAACATGGACGTGTTGACGCGGGTGTCTGTGGATTATGAGACGTTGCCCGGCTGGTGCTGCAGCACCGAGACGGCCAGGAGCTTCGAGGAGCTGCCCCCTCAGGCACAAAGCTACGTTCAGTTCATCGAGGACTTCCTGCAAGTGCCAGGTTTGCAGAGACATCATTTCAGCTAATGGAGAAGCCGGAGCCAAACCTGCCAGTCTCATTCTGTAGTTTTGTTGTTTCTCATTTCAGTGAAGTGGGTCGGAGTGGGGAAGTCCAGAGAAAGCATGATCAAGCTGTTCTGATCTACAGCTGCAGTCGTCAACATCGTAGAACATCAGATTATGTGACAAGAAAGAAAATGAATCACCAGCACGGCCACACCTAAACATTTTAGCTGCTGCTTTTGTGTCACATTTCCAAAACCAAGTCTTCAGATCAAATATAAACATTCCTCATATTGATCTGCACGTCTGTTTAGGAGGTGACGTTTTTAACACGAGTACAAATGAAGCTCTTAGTTCAGCTCATAGATGATTTTAGCTTCTTTTTTTTTTACGTTTGTTTATCAAACATCTGTTCAGTGTGCAGTTATTTTTTTACACTTTAAAAGCAGACGTAAAAGCCTTTGTTGGTAAAGGACTTCAAAATAAAATTCCAGGCATTGTGAAAGGATGAAAAAAATAATTTATTTGGTTGTAAAAGTTGACTTTTTCTACATTTTAAAACACGATCAGCTCCATTTGAGAAGAAAATCTGTAAACAAGCGAATAGATTTAAAATGAATACCAAACACGAAGGACTAGAATCAGGTTTTAACTTCAGGTTTGTGTAAATGTAAAGACAGCTTATTACAGACTAATGATTTCTGTGAACACTTCCTGAGCTCATTAGAACCAATAAAACAAAGCTCTCATCTTTATCGTCTCTTCTTTTTACTATACAAGGGGTTAGCTCGGGGTTGTCTGGGAAACATTTATACTGGATATAAAGTTGTTTTTATATATTTGTCCTGTTGATTTTATACAAAGATAACATTATTTTAACTAGCCTGAAACTCCATTTTTGTCTTTTTCACTCCCCTCACTAATTTTTATTCCAGTATACAGCCTCTTTTACTCACCCTGACTTCATGCTGGTTCAAAGCTTTCTAAGATCTTAAAAGATTAAATTAGTGAGTAAAGTAGATTCTTGGACAAATCAATAAGAGGTGTAACCCAACGCTTTAGATGCAGTCTGTCTAATATCTCGGAGGCCCTAAAACCAAAGGTTTTACAGCCTGGCTGTTGGTGGAGTTGTCTCAGTCAAGTCTAAAGATGCTGAAGGAAGGAAATGGCTGCAAAAATATTCACCCCCGTGGTATTCTTTGTTGCTTTATGACTTCAGGTTTTGACTTTGATTAGAAAGTAATGAACCTATGTACAAAACGGATTCCAAAAAAGTTGGGACACTAAACAAATTGTGAATAAAAACTGAATGCAATGATGTGGAGGTGCCAACATCTAATATTTTATTCAGAATAGAACACAAATCACAGATCAAAAGTTTAAACTGAGAGAATGTATCATTTTAAGGGAAAAATCTGCTGTTTCCAAATTTCATGGCGTCAACAAATCCCAAAAAAGTTGGGACAAGTCCATTTTTACCACTGTGTGGCATCCTCTCGTCTTCTTACAACACTCAACAGACATCTGGGGACAGAGGAGACCAGTTTCTCAAGTTTAGAAATAGGAATGCTCTCCCATTCATGTCTAATACAGGCCTCTAAACTGTTCAATCGTCTTGGGCCTTCTTTGTCGCACCTTCCTCTTTATGATGCACCAAATGTTCCCTATAGGTGAAAGATCTGGACTGCAGGCTGGCCATTTCAGTACCTGGATCCTTCTACGTAGCCATGATGTTGTTATTGCTGCAGAATGTGGTCTGGCATTATCATGTTGAAAAATGCAGGGTCTTCCCTGAAAGAGATGACGTCTAGATGGGAGCATATGTTGTTCTAGAACCTGAACATAGTTCTCTGCATTAATGGTGCCTTTCCAGACATGCAAGCTGCCCATGCCACAAGCGCTCATGCAACCCCATACCATCAGTGATGCAGGCTTCTGAACGGAGCGTTGATAACAACTTGGGCTATCCTTGTCCTCTCTGGTCCAGATGACATGGTGTCCCAGTGTTCCATAAAGAACTTCAAATCGTGACTCATCTGACCACAGAACAGTCTTCCATTTTGCCACACTCCATTTTAAATGACCCCTGGCCCAGTGCAAAGGTCTGAGCTTGTGGAGCTTGCTTAGAAATGGCTTCCTCTTTGCACTGTAGAGTTTCAGCTGGCAACGACGGATGGCACGGTGGATTGTGTTCACTGCCAATGCTTTCTGGAAGTATTCCTGAGCCCATTCTGTTATTTCCTTGACAGTGGCATTCCTGTTTGAGGTGCAGTGACGTTTAAGAGCCCGGAGATCACAAGGATCCAGTAGAGTTTTACGGCCTTGACCCTTACGCACAGCGATTGTTCCAGATTCTCTGAATCTTTTGATGATGTTATGCACGGTTGATGATGATAACTTAAAAGTCTTTACTATTTTACGCTGGGTAACACCATTCTGGTATTGCTGCACTATCTTTCTGTGCAACAATGGTGGAATTGGTGATCCTCTTACCATCTTGGCTTCTGAGAGACACTGACACTCTGAGAAGCTCTTTTTATACCCAATCATGTTGTAAATTGACCTAATTAGTGTTAATTGGTCTTCCAGCTGTTCGTTATCTGCTCAATTTCCTTTTTCCAGCCACTTATTGCTACTTGTCCCAACTTTTTTGGGATTTGTTGACACTGTGAAATTTTGAATCAACATATTTTTCCTTTAAAATGTTACATTTACTCAGATTAAACTTTTGATCTGTCATCTATGTTATATTACAAATAAAATATTGACATTTGCCATCTCCACATCATTGCATTCAGTTTTTATTCACAATTTGTTTAGTGTCCCAACTTTTTTGGAATCCGGTTTGTAAAATATTCCACATCAAACCAACATTTTTCAGTCAGGTTATCTGGACAGTTTCTTTTTTTGTGCTGAACCGTTTCGCCTTCGATCCGGAAGGCTTCATCAGTCAAGGAACCTGGATTACTGATGGATGTTGTTGATTCCATATCAAAGTTAGTTGGGAGAAAAATATGTTTTAAATGATTCTTAAAATAGAAACAGTGGTGTGGGCATGTGTATATATATTTAGTCCTTAATTTGAACCGTTTCAGAAACCACAGAATCATGGCAGTGTTGACTGCTATTCATTCAGTCTTTATTTATACAGGTTAGTCTCACTGAGTCACGGCTCATTTACAAGAGAGACCTGTTTTATTAAAATCTGCAGAAGAGGTAAACAATAACTAGACAAAATGCATATAAAATAAAAAGTAAATAAAAGTATTGATATAAAATCAAGCTATATTGTAAAATGGTGTAGAAAACAAAACAGGAACATGTCTGCAGTGGTGTTTCCCATGAACTTAACAGATGTTTGAAACCGCTTAGAGAGGTCAAGGTCAAGAGCTTCAGATCTTTTTTCAAGATATTCCAGGAAATAAGAGCAGAGTAGGAGAAGGCCCTTTTGCCAAGTTCAGTCCTCACTGAGGGAACACTGCAGGTAATAATGTCCTGAGAGCGCACGCTGTAGCTGCACTCACGCAGAGACATGTAGGAGATGTATGAAGGCAGCAGACGAAGTGATTTAAAGATGAAAATGTACCAGTGAGAGAGTCTGCGTGAAGTTAATGATGTCCAGTTAACCAGTGAATACAGGGTTGACGGATATGACAGTTACAGCCAGTTATGAATCTTTGTGCACCATCCAACATCTGCAGAGTGCTTGTAGGAGCGTTCATGTAAATAATGTCACCGTAGTCACTGGAGGGAAGATAAGTTGTGGTCACAAGGTGTTTCCTAACATTCAGAGTTAGACGGGATCTATTTCTGAAAAACCCAGTTTAACTTTCAGTTATCAAGTTTTCAACATGAGGCTTAAAAGAGATGTGGATTGACCACGATACCCAAGTATTTACAAGAGTCCACAAACTCAATAGGAACACCGCTTGTAGATTAGATAGAAGGAAGGACTGTGACGACTTCCTGTTTGAAAACAGCATCCCTTTGGTTTTATCAGCATTTATCGCAAGTTTGAGACGAAACAAATCAGACTGGATGATATAAAACGCAGATGGAAAACCTTAGCAATTGTTTTAGCTTGACAATAAACAACTGTATCGTCAACATAGAAATGTAAGGATGCATCTGGGATGTTCTGTCATTCAATTTTCCAGTTTTTCATTTGTTGCAAACTACTGCTTAGTTTGATTAGCATTTGTTAGGCTGATTGGTTACTTTCAATTGTCCCTAGGCGTGAGAGAGTTTGCCCCTGTAATGGACTGGAGACCTCCCCCACTTCTCGTACAGTGACTGCTGGATATGGGCACCAGTGACCCAAAAAGGAAGAAGCAGGTAAAGATTGTGAAGCATGGCAGTGGCAGCATCATGCTGAGGGGACATTTCTTACTAGCAAAAAAAACAAAACTGGTCAGAGTTGAAGAAAAGATGGATGGAAGAAAAGCAGGAATTTTTAAAGGAAACCTGTTTGAGCCTTCCAGAGATTTTATCCCGGGGCAGAGGTCCACCTTGCAGCAGGACTACGACCCTGAACGCACCGCTGAAGCAGCACTCCACTGGTTTGAGGACAAATAGCTGAGCTGTTAAATCCAGACCTCAATCTGAGAATCTCTGGTTTGATTTAAAGATTACTGAACACAAGAAGCACACAAGCCAACCTGAAGGAGCTGCAGCTGTTTGGTGATGAATGATCAGACTGCAGATGTTAGATGGACCAGAAAACGGACCTGAAGAAACTCGCTGCAAAACGTGGCTCAAAAAAGTACTGACTGGTGAGTTATGCACACCCACTTTGTGGCAGTTGTATTATGCATGTAATAACCTGAAACACAAACTATCCTGATTGTAAAGATAATCAGGTTATTACATAAAAACAAGATTTAAAGCCCCCGTATCTTAATCTAAATAATGAGAAACTCACCTCTGAGTGTGACTCCTGAAGCTACGTCACCGTTTCAGGGAAAAACTGATGGACCACAGACTGACGAAAACTAAAAGCCAGTCTGCAAACTGGTTAACATTTAAACAAGTTGTTTAGTTCTGCTGCTACACTCAAACATAAAACTCTGGAATGCAGATAAAAAATAAACTAAAATCTGTTCCAAGCTGCAGCACTCAGTTAAAAACAACAAGATGAGGCATTTTTAGGCAGCTTGTGTTTATTTATCATACTTGTTGCCTTTACCTCCATTTTGCCTGCTGTCTTTTGCGACTTTTAATTTATAGCTAGCATTCTGCTATGGTTAGCTTTTAGCTACCCTTTTGCAACTTTAGGTTTTAGCTCATTTTTATCTATTTTTAGCTATATGTTGCCACTTTCAGTTGAGCTGTGAGAATCGAAGTTCAAAGTGATCTAAACTAGTTAAATGGTTTTAAGAACTACTGGTTAGTGACATAGTTTAAATTTATTTTAAATACAATGCTTTCAACCCTCTTTTTTATAATCTCTGTCACTGACAGAGAAATTAAATAAATTAACTTTTCTTAACATGAACCACTTTAACTTAGTTTAGGCAACATTTACCAGAAACACCAGTTGAATTTCCCACTGGACCACGCAGATGAATCCATTCTTTTTTCTTCTTCTTCTTTTTCTTGTTCTTTCAGCTGCTCCGTTCATCAGGGGTCTCCACAGTGAACTAAGTCGCACGAAGACTTGACAATTATTTTTACACTGGATGCCCTTCCTGACACAACCACAGACCACCGAGCTACCACAGCCCTCTATGTGGAGCAGAGAGCTGCTGTCTAGG